AGGGATGTGAAAATTCAAAGCACTTTAAATCAGTTGAAATTCAAATCCACAAAGAAAATCAATAATAGAAGATCTAAATAAAATCATTTACATGCAAAAATTTAAAAAAATATTTCAAAAGTGATTAAATTAAACATTTCTGCAGATAAATCTGTAAAAATAAAATATTTTTATTGGAGACAGTTGTAAATCAAACTAATGTTATCTTGTTAAATAATAAAGGTGCTAATGGCATCAAATACTAGTTGTTTAGAAAACAGTCCCAACTACTAGGGTTAATAAAGAATTAATAATATTAAAAAAAAAAGTATGCTCAGAGTTGTAAATAAGAAAGCAGAAGCACCTACAGTTCTCTTGTTAACATTTGAGTATTCCTTCCAGACTTCTAAAATTATCATTTATTTATACCTTCATTCACTTTTATATAGTCATTCACATACACTCTTTCATTCATGTCTGTTTTATTTTATACCATCATTTCTGTACGTTGTGTTTTATAGAATTGCTGTTGACCTGTTAGCTTTATCTCCTGTCTCCTCTGTGTCTCCCCATTGTGCCTTCCCTAGTCTTTCAGTCCCACCCCCACTAATCTCTGCTCTCCTAGTGGTTTCGGCGCCTGTCTTTGGCACCCCTTCCACCCTTTCCCATTGCATCTGTTAACGTAGATCGCGCTCCTGTTTGTTAATGGGAATATCCGTGTGGGCTTCACCATGATTCTGCCCAACTTGGCGCTCCCTCGTCTTGGTCCTTACGCCGCTCTCTGTCAGCCCTTAAGTTTCTGTTCTTTCCCCTCCCCCACCCCTCGGTTACCCTTCTCTTGTCACTGTAGCAGTCGTGTGCACTCTATGTCCTTTTTTGACTGACTTATAATTGCATATAATTTTTAAAAAACCAAAACCCACACCTAGAACTATATCATGTCGTTTGGTGTTTTGGTTTTTCCCTTTAATGTAATCACTAGAAAGTTATGCCGCACTCAGTGTCCTGTGACCGCGCCGGCCGTGGCTCGCCTGAGCCCCTTTACCTGCGCCCCTTCCTCCCCAGGTGTCCTCTGCGGGATGATCGCCATCGCGGACGCGGTCAAGCAGGAGGCAGCGCTGGCCGTGCACACGCTGAAGAGCATGGGTGTGGATGTGGTTCTCATCACAGGGGACAATCGGAAGACGGCCCGAGCCATCGCCACCCAGGTATGGGCAGGGCCAGCCCAGGGACCTGCTCGTTTTAAAATGGTCAACAATTTCAGGCTCACAGAGGTGTCGAGAGAGGAAAATAGGGGCCAGGGCACCCACCGCTCACCTCCACTTGCCTCTGCTGCTCTGAGCCCACAACCCTCACACATGGCCTGGCCCAGCCTGGGTTCAATGATCATAGCCTCACCCTCATAATCCCGGGGGAAGGGGGCTCCCACTTTCTCTAACCATATCTCGGTTTTTGAGAATAAAAAAAGAGGATCAAGACTTGAGAGCTAGACTGGAGAGTTTTCTCATCTGTACAGTGATGGAGGGGCTGTGTCCTCTCCTCGTGCTGGCCCCACTCGTCTCATGTGCGCACAGCAGCTAAGTGGCTCATCCTGGGCTGATCCACAGACTCTTCTGAGCCATGCTATGAGGTTAGCCTCACTGCATGGCTGTCTGGCCCCTGTACAGTCATGCCTCCGAGTAGATTCCTGAAAATGGTATTCTTCCCCCAAATTAAAAGCAACTGCTTCTTGTGAGGGCGTTAACAGTACCTGTGTTTTGTGTAGCGTTCTTACTAATAGTGGGCTTGTTAGCTAGCTCCCTGCCAGGCTCAGTAAGGCATGTTTATCCACAAAGCAACTCGCACTGCCTGACCCCAAACACAGGAGTGAGAAGTGGCGCCGACTCAAGGCATGTCTGACGGAGGTGCCAGGGGTGAACCTAGGCGCCATGCTCCAACCGATGTGTGCACTGATGAGGTGGGCATCGCCCCACCCCACACCCCTGCTGGCCACGCAGTGTGTGTCTAGATGGTCAGGGGTGCAAGGTGGGGATAGGGAAAGCAGAAGCGAACTTCCTGTGGACGAGCAGGCAGGCCGGGAAGCCGTGTGGAGCACAGAGCAGCACAAAGTGCCGAGCGGTGCAGGGAGCAGCGTGGATGCGGAGTCGAGGCTGGGCCCACCAGGCCTGGAGCCAGGGATCAGAACAGAGAGTATGACAGGCCGGCTGGAAGCATGGAGACATCATCCTAAGAGAAGTGGGATCTGTGGCAGGAAGTTTTGTCACCATTTTTTTTGTTTTGTTGGGTTTTTTTAAATTAATGAACGTTTACAGAGACTTTGGATTTCCATTCATTCATTGTTGCACTTTTCTCCCTACCCACCCCTTACCCCTAGTTCACTCTTCTGTTTGAAAGGTAAAAAAAAAAATTAAAAAATTCATTGTTATACAGTCCCTACCCCCCTGTCCACTTCACTATGCAGCCTTCATTCTAGATTCCTGTCATGACAATAATACCTAATCATATGTCCCTTTTAAACAGTTCTCTCCCTCATCTGTTTCAATACAGTGTACATTGTTTAGCCTCTTTTTTCTTAGTTTCCCTCAACTCCGATGTCAGTCCCGCTTTACAGTAGTGGCACTATGCAGTATTTGTCCTTTTGTGACTGAGATATTTCATTTAGCATGATGTCCTCCGGGGTCACCCATTTTATATAATATTTCATGAGTTCCTTGTTTTTCAATGCAGAGCAGTATTTCGTTGTGTGAATATACCAGAGCTTCTCTGTTTGTTGATGGGCACTTGGGTTGTTTCCAGATCGTTGCTATTGTGAACAAAGCCTCAGTAAACATGGGTGTGCATATATCTGCTTGGGTGGCGGTTATGGTTTCTTTAGGGTATATTCCCAGTAGTTTTTAGAACACAAGTTTAGTATAAAATTTGACACAGTTATCGGCTTTTCCTGTTCCGTATTGTACAGCCACTGCTACTATCTACTTCCAAAGCCTCACCGGAATGTGTAGCAGAAGAGTGAGACATCCAAGCGATTAGTTGAGGGGAGCTGCTCAGACAGCCGTGTGGGGAGGAACCCACGAGATGGGTTAGTGTGCAGGGGGAGCCTGGTGGTAAACCTGATCATGAACCTGCTGGACTTTCTGTCTGCATCATCTGACGAGGGAGGGATTGGAGTGAGGCCTGACAGGATGCTGCTCGTTTGCTGTTCTCTAACTGCAGGCGTGGGGAGATCACTAACTCTGGCTCCTGCTTCCTTTCCTATCAGGTGGGCATCAGCAAGGTCTTTGCTGAGGTGCTACCTTCCCACAAGGTGGCCAAGGTCCAGGAGCTCCAGAACAAAGGGAGGAAAGTCGCCATGGTGGGAGATGGGGTCAATGACTCCCCAGCTTTGGCCCGGGCAGACGTGGGCATTGCCATTGGGACTGGCACAGATGTGGCCATTGAGGCAGCTGACGTCGTCCTCATCCGAGTGAGTGTGGCCGCCCTTCTGTTGTCCGTCTGTCTGGTTCTGGGTCACAGGAGTGACGAGGACTGGCGTGGGGGGCCGATTCCCCTCATAGTGTTTTCCTCCTGCAGAATGACTTGCTTGACGTGGTTGCTAGCATTCACCTTTCCAAGAGGACCGTCCGCAGGATACGCATCAACCTGGTCCTGGCGCTGATCTACAACCTGGTCGGGATCCCCATCGCAGCGGGTAGGGGTGCCTCTCACCTGGCCTGCTGCCTTTACCCCAGCTGTGGGCTGCTCCTGCAGGGTCCCTGCTGAGGACTTAAGTAGCCCACTTTGCTGGCCGACCGGCTGGCTGGAAACATCTTAGCAAGAGTTGGGATTTTGACATGTTCCAGAACTTGCTACATCTCTAAAAATAAACATGATGTTGTCGAGAGGATCCAAGCCTCTAAGTGCATAAATAGAATTCCATGGCAGATGAGTAAGAGATAGAGACTCGTGCTCAATTCTTTATAGTGGCCTCCAGTGCCACGCTCGCCTTGTTTGAAGTGGTGAGTGGAAGACCGGGGTCAGCAGTGATGGCCATCAGCCTGGCTGCCCTTCTTCCTCGTTCTGTCCTCACTCTCTCCTCTCAACAGCATGCTTGATTTTCCATTTTCCTGGGGCTCTGTTTTCTGAACTGTTCTTAGTACCCAGTGTATGAAAACGGATCCCACTGCTCCTGGGCACCGGCCACTTACTGGCACCATGGTGGTTAGTGGAAGTCTCGTCTCAGAAAGGGAGGTGCCCAGCGTTCAGTCTGCCTCTCAGATCTGAGCACGGCGAGGAAGTGTTCCTTTTCTGAACTCCTCCCCCAGCCCACAATCGAGTGAGTCTGGGAGGGGATACCCAGCTCTCCTGTAAGAAATACTCCTACATGGGCTGAGAAGAACCCAACCTCAGATCCCCTGTGTCCCACGATTGACGGTGCCTCACAGGGTTTAGCATGTGGCCTCCATCCTTTCTGCCCAGAGCGTTCTCAGAGGCTGTCCCCTCTGATGTTTGTACCTGTGCCGTCCTTCTGACGGCATCTAGAGTCCCATTTCTCCTTAAACAAGGCATTAGGAGGCTCAGACTGTAAATACGGCTACTGGGATCATCACTGTATGGGAGGATATGGCTGCCTGTGTTGCCAGCTCTCCCTTCTCCTCCCAGTCCCTGCCCCTCCTGCTCTGCTCAGAGCCTGGCCAGGTGGGCATGCCTGCCAGCCCTGGAGGGGCCCACCACAGTGCTCCACACACACACAGAGCCCAGGGCCGTGGACTCAAGGTCCCAATGTGCTCCCTATCTCTGAGGACCCTCACTGAGGCCACTGAGACCCTCACTTGCTTCTGCATACAGCCAGAATGCTGTGCTCTGAGCTGCAGCGTAAAGGTGTGTCTTTCCTCACCAGGTGTCTTCATGCCCATCGGCATCGTGTTGCAGCCCTGGATGGGCTCGGCGGCCATGGCAGCCTCCTCTGTGTCCGTGGTGCTCTCGTCCCTGCAGCTGAAGTGGTGAGTGCCCAGCTTGGGCGTGTTTGCTCAAGGTGGTCCTGCAGACAGCTACAGGGGGACAGGTGGCCAGGAATCCTTTAAACCTTTTCCCTTCAGGGCAGATTGAGGCTTGCAGGGGTGTTTCCTGGGGTGAGAATAGATGTTGGTTGTGCTGAAGTTCACTCACCTGAGGCAGAGACTGAAGGGACTGCCCTTCATAGAGCCAAATGTGTGTTACTATAAAGCTGCACAGACAGCCTGAGCTTCTCATGACCTCTCAACACACCTTCCCAGGCTGGGCCGCTCTGCTCATCTGACCAAGGGCTGTTGATACATAACCTCCATGTTTATTCTCATTCCCAAGAAGAGTGACCCAGCAGAGTGTGGAAATTATCAAACAGTGTCATTACTACCACATTAACAGTATCGTTATTGTCATTACTAAATCTTGCTGAAGATGATTAAAAAGCAGCTAGAACTGTAAATTGACAGCGAAGTGCCAGAACTACGAGCTGGTTTTAATAGAGGTCGTGGCACCAAGGATATCATTGCTAATGTCAGATGGATCTTGGCTGAAAGCAGAGTGTCAGAAGGAAATCTATTTGTGTTTTCTCACCAGAGATATTTGACTCTGTGCATCACAGCAAATTATGGTTAAAATTGAGAAGAATGGGAATCCCAGAATACTTGATTGTGTTCTTGCACAACCTACACCCAGACCAAGAACCTTTTGCTCAAACAGAGCAAGGGAAAACTGCAAGGTTTAAAATCAAGAAAGGAGTTCATCAGGGGTGTATCTTCTCCATACCTATTCAAGTTTTGCTCAACAAATCATTTGAGAAGCTGGATTTTACGAAGAGGAATGTGGCATTAGGATCAGAGGAAGACTCAAAAACCTGCATTAAGTAGATGTCACAACCTTGTTGCCAAAAGTGAGGAAGACTTGAAGTGCTTGCTGAAGAGGACCAGGACAGCCTTCAATATGGATTGTATCTCAGTATCAAGAAAAGAAAAATCCTCACCACTGGACCAGTAGGCAGCATCATGATAGATGAAGAAAAAATTGAAGTTGTTAATGCTTTTGTCTCACTTGGATCTACAGTCAGTACCCTTGGCAGCAGCAGTCAGGAAATCAAAAGATGAATTGCATGGGGAAAATCTGCTGAGAAACTTTTTGGGCTGAGGAACAATGATAACATTCTAAAAACTAAGGGGCATTTAATCTAAGCCATGGCCTTTTCACTTGCTTGTTAGACATCGTAAATCTGAATAATAACTAAAGATGACAGAAGAAAAATTGATGCCTTTGAGTTGTGGTGCTGGAGAAGGGTAGTAAACATCCTGTGGACAGCCTAAAGTACAAAACAGGTCTGTTCTGGAGAGGGTGAAGCCAGGCTGCTCCTTGGAGGCAAGAGGCAATGGTGACAGTCCATGTTTTGGACATGTTGTCAGGAAAGGCCAGTTCTTGGAGAATGACATCATGATTCTAAAGATAGAAGGTCAGCGCAAGAGGAGACGACCCTGAATGATAGGGATTGACACAGTAACTGTGGTAGTGGGGTCAGGTGTGTTGGAGATGGTAACGTTGGCTTAGGATGGGGCAAGGGTTGCTTTGAGTCATAGTCGACTGGCACATAACAACATAGGTGAATGGAATCCCTGCATTTGTCTTTTTATATTAAGGCGCATAGATATTTACCTGTTGTTGTTGTTGTGTACCACAGAGTTAGAATTAACCCATAGCTGACCCTCCGATGGGTTTTCAGAGGCACTTATTCGTATGGGAGAAGACTTCTCTTCCTTCTCCCACGGAGCAGCTGGTGGCCTCGAACTGTGTGCCTTTAGGATTGCAATGCAGCTTCTTGCCACTAGGCCACCAGAGCTCCTATATTTACCTACTTATTCATAATTTCATGACAATTAATGACTGTTACGTGCAAGATGTTTGAGTAGAAATTTTCTGTACTAGCTAAACTTTATTTGACCCATAGGAGTTTTAAGATCTTTTTCCTTTAAAAACCCATACGGTTTTGTTACTGTGTGTTATTGAAAGACTTAAGTGAGTGGGTGGTCTTTACCACGCTTTGTTTAAAGGAACTAAGGAAAGCCTGTCTCCTGGTGGCTCAGTGCTCTTGCATTCTTGACTTACAGCTATAAGAAGCCAGACCTGGAGCGGTACGAGGCGCAAGCCCAGGGCCGCATGAAGCCCCTGACCCCGTCCCAGGTCAGCGTGCACATCGGTATGGACGACCGGCGGCGCGACTCCCTGCGAGCAGCACAGTGGGACCAGGTCAGCTACGTCAGCCACGTGTCGCTGTCCTCACTGACCTCAGACAGGCTGTCCCGGCGCAGCGGTGCAGGTGATGACAGGGGAGACAAGTGGTCTCTGCTTCTGAGTGACAGGGATGAGGAGCAGTACATTTAAAGGCTCCAGGCAGGCGTGGAGGGACTCGGGAAACCCCGCTCCCCCTGCTCCAGGAGCCAGCACCAGGACGGGGGATCCTCGGACACCCCCTCACCCAGGGCCTTTCCTCGACATCACTCGTCAGCCAGGACACCACTGACCTCCCTGGGCGCTGCTGCTGCACGGCAGGTGGACGCTGTCCCCCCTCAGTGACACCGGCCTGGACTTGTTGGGAAGGTGGCGTCTTCACAGCCTCTGCTTCTGATACCTGGATGGCTACTTGTGAAGGGAGGAGAACTCGTCAGGACCAAAATGGTCTTTCTGGAGAGCTCATTAAAACTCCACATGGGCGTCTTCCCACGATGCTGTGTGCATTGTGCATCAAGGCCACAGTTTACCTCAGGTGTGACTGTTGTTTTCTGTAAGCGTAGCCCCTTCTGTGCCCTCCGTGTGCTTGGGGCCCAGCCCTCCCTGTCATCCGGGACCTTCCCTGCCATCCAGGACATTCCCTGCCATCCGGGGCAGGAATACCATCCTCGAGGTCCCTGCTGCTCTCCTGGACAGTTCTCCAAATACTCGGCTCACGCTTCCTGCCGAGTCCGTCTGCTCCCTCATGTCTGTGCCAGAGAGCTTGCCACAGTGCTCTTCAAATTGAAGAGTTCTTTGCTCCTTAAGACTCGCTTCTTTAAGGAGCCACAGTTTCTCATGCCAGTGAGAGCTGGAACTGACCAGCACAGAGGGCCTCAGAGTCCAGGTCATCTGTGGGGCATGGGCCATGTCCTGGCGAGCCCTTCTGGTCTCTGCAAAAGCCTTCATGATGCTTGAAGGAGGTGCCCTGGTGGGGAAGAGGGTGCATACAGAAACCCAGCCTGGCCCTAGGAGCATGGCCTACGTTGTGTTCTATGCAGGGTCGCCCATGGAGTGAAGCCTAGCCTGTACTTAGTAGTGGTGCCTGGGAGTCAGCAGCTCTGAGGAGAGTAAGGAACTCGTACTCACTGGGGTTAGACCAGGAAAGGCCAGAGGAAAGACAACCTCAACATCCCCAAGGGCTCCAGATGGCTTTGAACAGTTTCTGTCATGGCTGATGCCGCTATGATAGTTACAGAAAGGCTTCAGGTCCTCTGTTCATAGGGTCCCTATGAGTTGTGCTAGACCGGACGATAATCAACAACAAGAAGTTTATCAAATGCAAGCATCCCAGATCAGGAAAAATGACAAGTTGAAGCCTTGGACAGGGAGTCTCAGAAGAGGCATCGTGTACTCTGTCAGTAGCCTGACGTGGAGATTGGGTTACAGCCAGGACTGTGGATAGTAATACCCAGTCAAGGTGTGATCAGCCGTCATCTTTGATGAGGGGCTGCTGTTTTCCACTCCTGTCAGGCAGCAGACTTAGTTGTTATACAACATGAATGCTACCCTTGTTTATAAGAGGGCATTTACATTTCTAGGAAGGCATTGGCCTGTCAGTATTCCTGCTCTGGTTATCATTCTGGTGCGCCCAGGTTTTACAGATTTGGGTCCATTCTGGGTTTACTTTTCAGCCACAGCTGACCTGTTGGTGGTGTGCCACCAGATCGGGAGAGTGGGTCAGATCAGTCTCGGGCTGCTACTGACTTGACTGGTGACTGATGGAACCTCATCGTAGTTCACTATTGGAATCTGAAGTTTGATTCCAAGTTGAAGGCCTTATGACACATGAAAAATATTATTTATTGAATGTCACATATTTTCTAGGTGAATGTGAGCACTTTTTACATATTACCTCTAATTCTCAAAATGAACCAACAAGGAGATGATATCATTCTCCCCATTTTTCAGGCAAGGTAACTGAGACCCAGGCTAAGGGTCCTGTCAAGATCTCATAGCCAGTGTACATGCTGAAACAGGCGTTTTAATTCATGTCTGTCTGCTCTGAAGTCTTTACTTCTCACACCTTGAAACTCGGTTTGTTTGATAAGGAGTACCACAGAACAGGTTCTTAGTGCCAGGAGAATAGAACTACAGGGTGATTTAGTGACTTCGAGTGAAGCTTCACATTCACCGGGGATGGTTGGTTTTCCTTTTTGCCTGTAATTTAATGTTTGCTGGGTTTTCTCCTCTGAAGTCCAGGTGTGGGGTTGTTTGTTTTCAGGCTCCTTTTCCTCCCACCCCCTTCCCATTATGCCTTCCTGTTGTGTTTGGAGAATGTTCCTTGTTTGCTAACTAGAATTGTTACTGTCTAAATAATATAATTGTCTTGATTTTCCCAAAAGTGTTTTTTCCATAAACATCATGTTTATATGGATATAGAAATATTTATATAATTGTAAAGAAAATAACTTTTAAAATGTTCAAAGTATAAGGAGGTATGGGGTTTTTGGTTTTGTTTTAGTATAAGAACTATTTGCTATTTCACAGATTTTCATGCAATGCTATAATATAATAAAGTTACATTTTATTCATCTAAAAAGCTTTGATCTGTGAATGAGAGGCAAGCATGGTGGGGGCCACATGAGAATAATGAAGCTTGTGGCTCCGTTGCTTTCATGAACAGGAAGGATGAGGTGTGAACAGAAGAGGGTGTGGGGTTGACCAGAGTCCTCCTGATGTGATGCCCCAGGTCTGGTGTGCCTGCACCCAAATGCCAGCCCGGGCCAGTGGTGAGCTGCAGGGCCAGCTGTGCGAACATCTCCTGTTCAGGTCCTCTGCTCCGTTAACCACGCAGATGTCTAAATTACCATTAGATGCTCTTCTCCGCTTAGGGTCATTGCCTACAAAAGACCTCAGATGCACAGGGCCCTTGGCCGTGCAAGGAGGCCCCTGGACGGTGCCATTTATGCTATATTGCTAACTTCTTAACCGTTGGCTGTTGGAACCCACCCAACTGGACCAAGAAAGAAAGGCTTGGCCATTGCTTCTGAAAAGATCTTAGCTAAGAAAACCGTACCGAGCACAGTTCTGTAACACACAGTGCCACCATGAACCTGGATCCTTCCCTGGCTCGTTTTCGGAAGTAGATTGCCAGGTCTGTGTGCCTCACACACCTCAGTCTAGAGGCTCTGCTGAATCCTGTTCAACACGCCAGGAACACCTAGACCTCTACTGACTGTGGTGATTGGGCATGAGATGTACTGACCGGGACTTGAACCCCGATATCTTGCATAAAAGATTGATTCTAACCACTGCAAAACCACTGTACCCTATCAAAATATAAGTCCTTAACTTCTAAGGAGCTCTAGAAGTATGTTGGTTGAACACTTAATTTTGACCCAAAAGCTCAGCAGTTTGAACCCACTAATCCTTTGCTTAGTGGGAAGGAATTGTGCTGCCAACTCCTAGGCATGTGGTTCGAATCCACCCGCTGCTCTGCAGGAGAACGATAAGCAGTCTCCTCCTGTGCAATTTATTGCTTCTGAAAGCCCACTGGAGGGTCAGCTATGGGTCATTCTGACTTGACGGTACTCAACAAGCAGCCGCTCTGCTGGAGATGTTGTGGTCTGTCTACGTCCTTCAAACCCCGATGGGCAGCTAGGCTGTCTCCCATAAGGTCACAGCATCTGAATAGGCTCAGGGCCATGCATTTGGTTGGCCGTTGGGTAAGGTCTTTGCTCGTTTACTAAGGAACCAAGATTAATAAGGATTACTAATCAAATGTGTTAATTGGAATATTATTTTAAATGCATGAGGACTTTGTTCCTCTTTAATCATTATCTCTATAGATTTCCTGATGCATATAACCTTTTTCTTGAGTTATAAAAGTTTTATTTGCATATAATTTTCTTAACATCTCCTGTTGAAATAAAATTGAGGGACCCACACACCAAGAAATGCTCTGAGCAACTACTCACACTGGTTCCTGGCCCCTGTTTTTTGTTCATGTTGCTGTGTGAGAAAGGACTGCTGGGTCAGCAGGCGTGAAGCCACTCCTGTTTCTTCTTTTTTCAAGCTCCTCTTGGGCAGGGATGCAAACACCACTGTTGGGGCCCTTTCCAGAGGGAGATGTCTGCATGTCTGCCTCTTCCTTTGTGTGACGACAATAACGATGGCTGAAATTACAGGATAGAATACGAGAATGTTAACGAACGCTGCGAAATCCCAGCATCTCCTTTCTTCTGTTTAAAAGAACGGATAAACAGATGTAAAACCATCCAGGGACTAAAATGAAAACAAGAATTAGTGGGAATTTGACATGCTTTTTCCGGGAAATGGAAATGGCTGCTCCTAATATGAAAGTTGTAAATGATTAAAACACAGAGTAAAGCAAACAGAAATGCATGCGGTAGGAAGAAAAAGGCCCCCAGAAGGAAGCCTCAGGGCTTGATGTCCTGGAGAAGCCCATTGTGGGTGGGCTTTTAGGGACCAAAGCTCTGTGTCCCTTGGCGGCCCAGTTTCCAGTCATTTTGTCACAGAGGTGTATTATTAACACAGTCATTCTGGGTAGACCCTTTATACAACTAAAAGCCCTCATCCTCTCTGTCTTCTGACTCAGCTCTCCCTGTCAGAGCAGACCTGTGGGCTGTATGATTTTTAGTGCTTGATTCACAAGTGTATCACCAGGCCTTTTTCCCAGGGGCCACTGGGTGGATTAAAATCATCAACCTTTGTGTTAGCAGCCCAGAATGTTAGCTGCTTGCATCACCGTGACTGGCACTCAGTGCCCATGTTCAGGTAAAGTCTAGACAATGAGAACATTCAAGTATCACAAGACCACTGCGTGCCGTGACTATGGTGGTCCAATCATCTTGTTATTCTGGTTGTAGGAAGACTGCATCTTCATCTCATCTCCACAGGTGAGGAAACATTATCCATACCCACAGGAAGATCATTCAAAGCTCGCAGAAATGGGTCTAACCAGTTGATCAGTGGAGTCGATTAGGGCTCAGTGATCCTACAGGAAATAGAACTATCCTGTCAGTGCTCCATGGCAAACAGCAGAGCCTTGATGGAGTTGGATGCGGTGTTCACACGTCCCTCAGGCCCTGCAGCCCTGCCACATATGCTGCTCCCTCTTGCCCACCCGCCTTCTTCCCAAAGCACAAGGG